CATTTGCAACAAAAGATTCGTCTAGGAACTTTTGATGATACATTCACAAAATGCTTCCCATAACAGGTAAGACACAAAATAAAGATTCAGCAGATCTGATGGATTGGGGAAGGCTGTACCTAAGTTTGAGCTACAACTGCAAATGCCCGGTCAACTTTGGATTTAAAATAAGTACAGGTATACAAGGCCTTGATCAGATGATCGGAGCGGCCGACCCCCAGAGTGGGGCCTTAAAATTTCTGTTATATAAGCAATATCACTGACTAGTTTTGGTTAACAGCCTCGCAGCAGCATTCCGCACCGACAGAAGTCTGGCTATTATTGACTGAGTGCACAAGTGAAGAGGAAGTTGCAGTATTGTACCAGAAAATATAAACGCGTGCAATTTTTGGAAGAAAGAAAACATTTCTCCCTTCTCGATCAGTTCAATATATTTTTATAACACCGGCAATCACTTTAAACTTTTTCCCCCTGCGGGATATTTTTATGGCAGTTTCCAGAAGAGCTGTTTTATTGAACTGTGAAGTGAAGCGACAGGCAGGACAGAGAGACAGAGGCTGAAGCTGTGATCTTACAGACAGGCAGCCGGCTAACATTATTTGTTGTGACTTTTAAAAGAAAATTCATAAAGTTTTGTGAAACGGCAATGATTTACAGTGCAAGCTAAATGTTTGAGCTATCACATAATACTCCTTTCATGTCTCTAGCTGCTTAAAAGGCCACAAAATGTAGGCTTCTGTAAATGTTGGTCATTTATTCAGCCAGGGGTTGTTTTGTAACCACTCTTAAATTATTGTGTTCATTTTCAGCTCCTTAGGTCCAAACGGTTGTGATGTCTTGAGAGGTCAGGATCTTTTCCTCTTGGAGCTTTTGAGGTGTGGGTGCAGGAAATGAAGACAGACAGCTTTGCTTTCCAACTTAAATCCACTGTATTCAGTCTTCTTTTAACAGGTTAACTCTTGCAGTCAGCAGATAAACAAAAAAACACGTATTTGAATCTAATACTCTCGTTTACAGTCTTCATTGTCAACTAACAAAAGAACTCCCTCCTTCTCCACCTCAGACAGAGTCTCTTCTTTATCTGCTCTGTTCACTTCACTCTCAGCCTCCTCCCTGGGACAATCAGCTAAATATGTTCAGCTGGGCAACGATCCTTGTTCTGACTGCCCTGCTGACTATGGGTTTTGTAGTTCTTTAATGGAGGCCATGATGGGTTGTAGTCCTTGCTGCAGCCACCGGGAGGGAATGTATCTCCCCTCTATGACATCACACGGTTAAATACCTCCTTTAAACCTGCTTGAATCAATAGTTTAATATCAAGCGTGTGGGTGAAGGTCACTTGGCTTAAACTTGAATCATGTATCTTATGACTGAAGTTACACACTCAACATTGAATGGGTTCTTCCCTGACCCATAATGCATCCTTCCATAGTTATGTATTTGTCCATCATTCAGTGTCTTATTATTTTTGTTTTCATGTTTCTCCCCTACTTTTAGTGTACAGCCCTTTGGTCAATGTCTGTCAAAGTGACTTCATTTACAAAAGCACATTTCGCTTGAATGAAGCAATCCCACCCTGTGAACAGTTGTAGTTGCTGACACATGGAACAGCTAAAAAAAATCGTTGGCTGAAACCTGTAAAAACCCAGAACATTGAATGTACAGTACACACACACACACACACTCAGCTCACACAGGTTGCCTATCAACGCTTCGATATACATTTGTCCCCCGGGACGTGGTCGATAAGTGTCTGCGACTGGAAGCCCCTGAATTAACCTGTGGTTGCCCGATCGCAGCTTGTAAGTCGTTTTAAGTTCTTCACACTCGGCTGCATGGCCGCGTCGCTCGTCCAATCAAAGCCTAATCCAGGTTTTTTTCTGCCCTAACGCCTATTGACTTTTCGCAGAGGTCTTACATGGAATCAATTCCCCAGCTGAGAGCATGTGAGGCTCAGTGGTTAATGACAGCTATGTGCCCGTGAGCGGGGCTGAATAATGTCTTTGGGTGTCAACGGATGGAACTGAGAAACGCCATGAGTGTGTGTGTCATTGCTGGGGAATAATCCCACTGTACTATCTCCACGTCTCCTCCTTCAACTCTCGTGTGTTCATCTTCTTCTCCTGTTTTACTCCACCTCTTTCTCTCTCCCTCGATTCATCTCGTCCCCTCTTTCCCCCCTGACGCTCCCTCTCTTCTCTTCCACACCTCTTTCTCCCCTCTGTCTGTGAATGATGAGGGAGGCGACTGCTCCATCCGTCACTGTTGATGTTGTGAGTGTGTGTGTGTGTGTGTATATGTGTGTGTGTGTATATGCATGTCATCTGGTGCCCGGTGGCCTCCCACTGATGTAAGAGGGATCCGTCATGTCTCCCTGTCACAACAGCAGACACGCATGAGTGGATGTACACACCCTCACACACTGTCTCTCACACACACACACACACACAGAACACTGTTGTCTCCTCTAAAACTGTATAACAGAAAGTTGTTTAGTGTCAAAAAGTGTTTGAATTGATTTGTGTGTTTTTTCTCTCTTCATAAGAATGTTGTTTTTTCTGTCTCTGTGTCCATATTCTTGCCTCACTGTTTTCTCAGTATCTGTACGAGGACAAACACAAGTTGAAAACAAAAAAATTATTAGTTAAAAAAAAAAAAAAAAATTTGTTAAACCTGTTCAAAGCAGAAGTTGACGTGGCAGATCGGCAGTTTTTAAAAATCAATGATATTATCCTAAATCACAGAATGCAACATGACAGGACATTTCAGCAAGTTTCATTTCAAACATACACAATGACATTGAGCCTGGTGCAGAGAAAGCAGCACCAAAATAAATAATGCTCTGCGTTCATGGCTGTTGTACAGCGGGAGTGGCTTTCAGCGTGCAAAACAAGGTCCTTGGGGCAGAGCTGAGTATTATGGAGTGGTGAGTGGACACAAGTTAATTTTGGAGCAGCGTCAGCAGCAGTGACAGGAGCCTCGTACTGCCTGTGTGTTTGGAGCAGCCCCTGCTGAACACACGTGGAACTGCACTCCTGACAAAGACGACCCCCCCCCCCTCTTCTTGGAGATGAGAGTGATTGGACTCGGGTGACCGATAGCTTCGACTGTCTTCATTAGCCGGAGGCTCTACCTGAGTAGCTTGTCGGATGTTTTGGGTGCAGAGGTGCAACTGAGTCAGGCCTCTGCAGTTTATGATAAAGAGGAAACCATCAGTCAGAAATCAGCCTGAAGTGCAGTCAGACTAAACACTCTGCAGACAGATGTGCATCCGTCCCCTGTGTGTCTGCTGTGTGAATAATGTGCCTCTGTAAATGACTGTCTAACAGTGTGTTGTCCTATAAAGCAGCGATGGCGATTGCACCTCTGTGACTAAGTATGTACAAGCAAGTGGCTTCTGGCCAAAACAAATACGTATTTAATTAGAATCTATTTTTAAATGTGATAATTCCGCACATATCAGTATAATAATATAAGTATTCTTCTGACATTACACACTCAAGGTGCATTTTACATGATGGAATCATAATTCTGCACTCATGTTCCTTGCTCATCCAGTTACTATACTGACTGGAAGTTATATTTTACCACCTCCTAGCTTGCATGCTTTAAACATACATGTGGAATTGATCTTTTCATATCTGGTATTCAATCTGCAAACACATGCAATAACCTGAATTGTCCTTAATGATTTTGTTTTGGCAGAACAATGTTGATGGCCACAGAAAATGTTCTGCTTCCCTCAGATAGTCAGACTTTGGCATATCTTTCCTCAGTTGGATACTTAGGCTGGAGTCCCTGATTCGATGAGATTGTCTGGTCAGAAGGCCCTCTTTAGTTAAAGATAATGATACACACTCATGTTGGTATAATTGAAGTAATTATTCAATAAATTAACTTTGAGCATTTCTGTCTCAGGGGTGCGGAAGGTGATGATTAGGCTTTACAAAGCAGGCTTTAATCCTGTAAAGTTGTACACACACACACGCAGGCTACAGATGCACTGTATCATACTGCCATGCAAACACTGTTAATGATAGCAACACCTCCCCAGACGATCCAGACCTTTGGATTCCTGTCATTATAGCACAAAGTTAATAGGTGGGTGAGGAAATGAATGGCTGCCTAAGTGAATGGATGTGTAATTAAAGAATGGGTGATACAGTCAATGTAATTAGCTTGTTTATGTGTGATACAATGGATCCAGGCGGGCAGCGATGGCCCTGTGCCTGCAGTGGCAGACGAGCAGCGGGAGGGAGGGAAAAGAGACAGAAGATGGAGAACGGGAGGAGGAGGAGGACGAGAGGGAAAAGAGAAAGCAAACTCCTTATTCAGGCTTTTTCTGCTCACCCGTCATATCAAGGCTCCAAATCAATCCCGCAAATTGGTTTGTTCCTTGACAAGGTTACCAAGTGACGGAGGGATGGAGGGAATGAAGTGGGGAAGGAGAGGCAGAATATGAGATTGAGAGGGAATATGTGCGAGCTGTAACGAGAAAGAGATGAGCAGGGGTGGGGGGTGTCCTGTTGATGACATATTGTCTGATGCAGAGCAATGCGTTTTGGCATGTGTGTGCGTCTGTATGTTTGCGGGAGCTGAAGGCCGGCGGCGAGGTCGTTAAACTATGGAGGGGGTGAAGGATCCGCTTGATAGTTGTTTGTTACAGGTAAGACGAATCAGCTGAGTTATGGCATCCCGACTCACAGAGCACTTTGCCCGTGTGGTGAATGGGCGTGTGCACATGTTGGAATGAGTATGTGTGTTTGTGTGTGTGTGTGTGTCGGTGCAGTTTCTTGACACAGCCACAGATGCTCCTGTAACCCTGTCACAATGAAATGTGGGACCCATTTCCTCCCATTCCCAGCTGAGCCCTGTGGAATTGGAAAGTAAATATATAAATAATAGAACAGATAATTTAAAAAAAAGGCAAACACTCCAAAGGTGTTATTCTTCTCCTCTGACCTGATGTGGGGGCTGTTTTCTGTGTGTGTGTGTTTCAGGAACACTTCACGCCAGAGTGCAAGTTTAAGGAGTGCGTGTTCGAGAACTACTACGTGACCTACTCGTCCATCCTGTACAGACAGACCCAGTCGGGCCGAGCGTGGTACATCGGCATCAACCGGGACGGACAGGTGATGAAGGGGAACCGCGTCAAGAAGACCAAGGGAGCTGCACACTTCCTGCCCAAACTCATCGAAGGTACAGTACTGTCATACTTCCTGTCTGAGCTAGTTTACATTGTTCCCAGTGGCTGGTGGTATTATAGTTTCAGGTTGTGCGTCTGTCCATTCTTGTGATGGAAGCCAATGGAATTTCAGTTCCAAACATTCACTTGGACTAAAAGATGTCCTGATTAGAAAGTGGAGGTCAAAGGTCGAGGTCACAGTAACCTCAAGAAACGCTCCCATGTTACAAAGAACCGTTTCAGATCTGGCACAAAGATTAACTGATTACATTTCAGTGACCAAAGGACAAAGGTCTCTCTTATGAATCTGGAAAAAGAAACGTGTGCTGACTGAAACTAAACTCGTTGGTAGAGGCATATAACCACAGTGCGGGAATTCTAGTTACATTTCCTTTAGGTGAGTCCAGTACAATGAAATCATTGACCTTATGGCTCAAGGCTAGAGTATCAGCCGGTCAGAGAGGAAACTAAATTGCAGTATAAAGATCCACGTTTGATAGTTAATTTATGTTTCCCTGACTTGTATAATGGTGTCAAAATATTGCTGAAACTTGAATGATTCTTCTTCTTTTTTTTGGTGCATGCTCCTGTAAATAAAGTTGAGTTTTATCAAGCATTTTGATATAGAAGGTCACGCTGGCCTCTTGGCGTATAATGAAGCTGCCATGGATTATTTACTCACTGTACTCATCAGCGTAACAGGGAAAGAACACAATCTGCAGAGGGTGGTAGGTGGGTGGTTTAGGTCAACAAAGGCCCACCAGGATATTTGTGGCCTTATTTACTCCTACAAACATTGCTGCAAAGGTGAGTCATGTTCGAATAAGTGAGATCGTTAATTGGAGTTTGGGTGCATGAAGGCATTTTGCAGGCTTTGCACGTACACATATGGAGCTGCCTTCCTTTGCATAGCCATGCTTTTATTAATCAGAAACGATGAAACAAATATGATCTGTAGATGAAAAGGACAATGTGCACCTCAGTGTCACAGTATTTATTAATAATGAATGAAACCGTCTCATCTCAGAGCAGACAACATGTGGATGTCGACCCATACGTTATTAAAACACAGTGTGTGACTTGCACAGCAGCTGGTGAAATAAATCAGTGATAAATTGACCTTTTTTATAAACCAATGCTAAAAGATAATACGAATCTGAACCTTAACCGCAGCCCATAATGTTCTTCTACACTGCTTTATCTATTAGGGGTTCCCTATCTATTTAAAGCGCACTTACATTGTGAAAGAAGTTCATGTTCACATCGTCAAAGCCCCTGTGTATATTTTTAAACTGGCTGGCAGAAATGCAGGTCAGTACCATAGACTGTATTTAAAGATGGACGACAGGTCTCCACTTAATCCCAATATCCAAGATTGGAGACAAAATATCCCGATCGCAATCTACGTTATTTGGGACCAGAGTCTCTGTCGTAGTGATGGCGGAGTAAAGCCGCGGGATCGAGGCCCTGCAGATACAGGCACTCGACCACATGATCAGCTAACAGCCATTTATCAGTGGAACCAGGATCCATCTTGTGCCATAAACAGATTTTTAACTCTAAACTCTTTGATATGGAAATAATGATGAGTTTTCCAAAAGAACGGCCTCATGTAACTCTGCGTCACCTTTTCTCTCCCCAGTGGCCATGTACAGGGAGCCCTCTCTACACGACGTCGCTGAGCAGAGTCCGCCCAGGAAAACGCCGAAGACCTCCAGTGACTCACCCGTACTTCAGAACGGCAAGAAAGACCCTCAATCCAAAACCAAAACATCCTCCTCCTAGCGCTCAGAGACACGGGAGGTGGTGCTGGTGGTGGTGGGTGGGGTGGTCGGGGTGCAGCGCACAGGCTACTGGGCACCGGCGGAAACCCGAAAAGGGTTGTTATTGCTACCCCACCCTCCACCACCCCTACTGCCTGCAACACTGACCCCCATGAAAACTCTGCATACCACAATGCACCAGTGTAACGTTGAAGAAAAAGGATCAGGCCTGGGTAGAGTGCAGCTGGCCAATGGGAAGCCCCCATTTACCCTCACAGACCCCCACCCTCCACACCAGCGCGCCACCTTCTTATGTAATAACTTCCATGATTATCCGAGCCTGGGACACAAAAGCAATAACTCCACAAAGAGGTGGACGGTCGCCGAGCATCGTAAAGCATGTCACCGCGGCGTGTTTAACCAGCTGCGAGGAAATCCCACACACCCTTGAGGTGTCATCAGCGACATCCGTCCAGTCAACCAAATATCGAAGTAAAGTCGCCCTGGTTTTACCACGGCGGGTGTAGCGGTCAAATCCATCCCCCTGCAGCACATACTTTAAAAATGGGTTGTGTTTTTTTCCCTGTAGGGTTCTGAGCTAATGTTCTGAGCCATACATACTCTGAGGCTGACACACAGACCCTCGCAGACTTTTGTTCTGCAGCCATCTGCTCCGTCCACGTCTTCTGTGTGTGTCAGCGACTTAGTGAGATGGCCTGGATACTTGTCAGCCTTGTTTGGGGGTGTGTGTGTGTGCGTGTGCCTGTGTGTTCCCTTCTTCTTCTTCTATTCACCTTTGGCGCGATTTTATTAGTTTGTGACATGGACTCAATTTTCCACTCGGCGGAACTATAAAACCCCTCCCGTCCTCTTTGGCTCTGTTAATGGAGTCTGGGGCTGATCAGAATCTTTCGACCCTTAAACGAGGGGCCAAGAGCTCCCTCGACACCCTGTATAACCACACACACACACACACACA